ATGTCTTTTATTTGTTAGCTATCTATCTTCTATAATTGCTTATCTACTTCAGGTGACAGTGAGGCCCAAGCTTATTCCAAGAAGCACAGGACACAAGGCAGGGGACATCCTGGATGAAATGCCAGTCCAGTGGACCACAGAGAGTAACACACCCTGATCAATTTAGAGATACAATTTAGAGAACCAAAGCCCCCGCACTGGATGTTTGAACCCAGGGGACGCCCTCTCAGTCCCACAGGAACGAAAGGAACCAAAGCCGTAGCACTGGATGTATGAACCCATGGGGTGCCCTCTCATTCCCACAGGAACGAAAGGAACCAAAGCCCCCGCACTGGATGCATGAACCCAGGGGACGCCCTCTCAGTTCCACGGGAACCAAAGGAACCAAAGCCATAGCACTGGATGTATGAACCCAGGGGACACCCTCTCAATCACACGGGAACCAAAGCCATAGCACATGATGTATGAACCCAGGAGGCGCCCTCTCAGTCCCACGGGAACCAAAGCCATAGCACTGGATGTATGACCCCAGGGGACGCCCTCTCAGTCCCAGGGAACCAAAGCCATAGCACTGGATATATGACCCCAGGGGACGCCCTCTCAGTCCCACGGGAAACAAAGCTGTTGCACTGGATGTATGAACCCAGGAGACACCCTCTCAGTCCCACGGGAACCAAAGCCGCATGCTAGATGTCTGAAGACATCACATCGCACTCTGTGCCATTGTACCACCATCATTTATATGCCATTCTAAAGCAAATGGGCAACAGGCAGAAATGTTTCTGTGGTGACAGATTGGTTGTACATAGTCGTTCTGATGAAACGTAGCAGCTTCACAGACACTCTGCTTAAGCACAGTCATGGTGCTTTAAAACATGGTCACTTAAAGGATGATGTAAGGTCCACCATTCTCACATCAGAGCATTGCAGTAGATATTCCATTTCTGTTTCCATTAATCTGGCTATAATTTACGAGTCTATAAATGTGTTTCTCTATCTGTATATCAAAAAAAAAATCTGTTTACTGTATTTGCCCCTATCTGTAGAGCAAGGCATGCATATATGTGTGTGTACCTCAGTGTTCAATGTGACCGATGTCTCTCCCCATAGTAGGATTATGTTGTATGGCATAAAATTTTCTTCCTTATCACAGATTGCTTTTTGGGGGTGCTGAGCCCTCCCCCCTCCCCTCCATGGAAAAAAAGCACGTCATTTGATTCAATCATTCTATGTAGAGAAAAAAAAGTGATTGTGGTACAGTGCAATGCTTAAGAAAGTAAGGGTTTGAATTTTAACCTTATGGAATTCATTATCACAAATCTAAGTAGGCCTACTAGGAAGACCATACTTCCAAGATTAATGTAATTACTACACACAGAACTGCTGAATTTAGAATAATGAGACAGAGCATTATTAACTGTGCAGTGTCTTACTGGTTTAGGGAACAGACTTCACGTGCTCTGCAGTGAGCAACGCTGTCCGAGGTGCTGAAATGAGGCGCCTGCACACGACAGTCAGAGATTGTGCTTGCTAATTCGAATTAACACCAGTCTCCAAACAAGATTATCCATGCGTCCTCAGTTATTAATAAAGCCTGTCCTAGAAATTCGCGTTTAATTAAAAATCTTGTGGCCTTAAATGAGGGCACAATAGGTATAAGCATTTACGTATAATTCATATATCTCTGGCTCTGCTACACTGAATTAATTTAGTGCTTCTGAGAATTTCACATTGAAGGCGTTTGGTGTCGCCAGGGAATATGACACACAATTAGTAAAGCCGATCGTGATTTCCGAGGTGCGGTTCCATTTTCGCATAGTAATTTTAGTCTAGCTGTTAAAGCAGGAAACGGCTGCTTACACCATTTCACTACAAGCAATTACGTATGTCTGTGAAAGTGTAAAAATCGTAGTTTTGTGATACCAAATTAAATTAATTACGGTTTGGTTTAGGCAATGGGATTTCGAGAAAGTTATTATCCCTCAACAACTAAAACTCGAGAACGGTTAATTACCGGGCAAAACCCAACTTTCATAATTCATGATAATTCACAATTTAATAGCGATAGCGCGTCTATTGGAATGGCGTCTATTACAGATCGGTCACGGTGACACCCAGACACCGCTAACATCGAGATATAATGTTTAACACCGGGGACTGCTGTGATTTTGGCTGTATTTACCCTCACATCAGCACGTATTACGTTAGAGGAGGATGAAAATATTACGCTTCAGACAAACACAGCTATGTGGGCGTCAACATATCCAATGACTGGGTTTTGTGCGGATAGCACTACATTATTAGAAATTCACAGTAAATGCAGGCTACAGTCCGTCTTATTGGCACCTAATTTGTCTCCGCAATTAATTTCTCACCTCGCGCTGATCCATATCTATGGAACACTGCGTGTGGCGATGTGTTCTTAATGGTTTTCCAGATGGGATCGTTGCCGAACACATTTCACAAAAATAGTTTACTTGCTTTGTAATGTTAATCAATTGGTGTATTAGATGCAGCTACATTAGGCGCATCTACGACCCATGCGTCAAAATTAAACCATGTTATATATTTGTATATAAGACGTGTATGGTTTAAGCAGATGCCCCCAGTAATGTCATTCGTTTCTCCATGCTGGGCTTCTTTGCGTGGTTGGCGGCGGAAATATATGGTTTAAATGATGTAATGCAGTTTTCAGAAAGGTGCGTCTAATAAGCTAAGGCCTTTTTGTTAGGTGACCGCCCCAGGTGCTTTTAACTGAATGCCATCGCCCAACGACCAGCTAAGTTAATGTACTGAGAACCCGTATGGGGTCTTCATACGACAGTACGTACACATTATTTACTGGTCAGATTCAGCTAAAAATGCAGTTTACCTTCTATAAAGGGAGACATCTGGCATATTATTGTGTATGATTTTGCGTATCTGTATTTGAAAGTGCTCACGTTACGGTCAGCTTGCGATTAAAAAAGCAGTTATTTCTGAATAATAATCTGAAGTAAAATTAGATCTGCACCCCCCGTAGACCACGCCCCCTTATCTCTTGCTGTCACACACAAACACACACATAAGGGCACACCCTGACACAAAATACATATCGATTAAATATTTGTCGTTAAAAGTCCCAACCGGCTTCTCAGTATATCTCTTGTACCCGAAATCTTGAAAGTAAGCTTTCTTTCCCTGGATTTAGGGTTTCAAATATGATGTGCATTCTTCCTGAATTAATCTACAAATTGAATCCCCTTTTTTCTACAGTAGGCTATATGAACGATCGCATTGAATCCACGGCTTCGCTGTAATGTGCTGTAGCTGACGGATCCAGCTCCGTGTTTTGGCCCCTCCTTTGACTTCGAGGCCGGGGTATGGAGAAAGAGTAGCCGACAAGTCCCGTGGACCAATAGCACAACAGTGCTGCCTGAGAGGGGAACCCGGTGTGCGGGCGAAGGGCCAAAGCACACCGCAAGCAGCACTGACAATATCGGATCTGCCACGGTAGTGCTCTCACATTTTTTTTCGCCTCCCCTTGATGCTGAGATTTTTATTTTTTTTTTGCTTTAGAGGAATATTTCATTATACGGTGACGCCAGCATAACTTCCAAGTGCAAATATAAAGGTAAGATATAATCGTGCTGGGCGGACTGTTCTCCGGGAGTTTATACACAATCATGTAAAGAGGTGTTCAGATATTTCTGGAATCTTAACCTACTGGCAAACATACAGTTATAAACGGGACGGATGCTATTTCGTAGGCGTTCCCCGCGTTGGATCGTCTTTGTTAGGCTTGTGCACGAGGTAGGGCTCGTGGCAGAAGCCTTGTGCAACCTTACAACTGTTTCATCTGGCAGTTCTTTAAAGTTATTCTGGTGCAGCAGACTGTTCCGTAAAGGAGTTTCCACTCAATTACACACATTTTTGAAATTGGTTTGAGGCGGCAGTCAAATCGATACGTGAGCCGGGACGGGGTTGATCTCCCTGGAATAGCCCACATTCACTGCATACAGAGAAATGCGATGTAATATCGTAAGAAATGCTCAGTTACCACGTTGCGCTTATTTATTTTGTGTAAACTGTAATTATGGGGGGAGGGGGGCGCACGGTTGAGAGACTCAAGGGACCCCAGCGTTTTCATTATTTTTAAATTGTCGGCGACTCTAAATCGTGGGCAAGCATTTGGAGATTCAGAAATACTTGTCCACTTAATGAACTCTATTGCGGTTCTTCGCGATGCCCATATCTAGAGATTATGAGAAAAAAAACAGGATGATAATGGTTATCAGATAACTTTCTTATACTCTTAAACAAGCAGATAACCATGTTGTCGACGTCATGCAATGTCTGTAAGTTTTATATGAGAACAGTGGATATATTTTATTACAAATCAAGTTAATTCCCAGGGGCTCTGCACAATACAAGGTGGAATTATTTTCCACAGCCGGACAGGGTCTAAGGTTATTTTTGCAATCATCACATTTATTAAATGATCACTATGACGCTATTCATACACAGTGCTTGAAATGCGGCGGTTGAAAAAAATAATCGAAATGAAAATAATTCGCTGCTGCACATTACACTTAAACTGTTAATCTAGCTGTGAGCTGGACTGAAAAGTAAAATATTTACCGAGATACCTACACTTGCAAATATTGCTAATAGTGACACAACTAACATAAAATAATAATAATAATAATAATAATAATAATAATAATAATAATAATAATAATAAACAACGACGACAACAACAACAACAACAATCAACATTATCATCTCCGATTCGGGAACCAGCTCCCTGCGCCTGGGCACGCTAGCACGAGTTCTGTCACCTTATTCTGGTCCAAAAGTGTCCAGAGCATGTTGGGTCGGGTTTGTAGGCTGTCAAACGCAGTTAAATGACAAACACGTGACTTGCCATATCGCAATATAGCTGACATGATGCACATTCGTTGCTTATTCTATCGCTTTAGCTTGAGCATGCTTTTATTTTTGTTTTTTTTTTTCGTGTGCGGCTTTGTAGTTATGTTTCCGCCGCTTTGTTACAAATGGCGTTCATCACTAATAGGTGACGTGCTGCTTTTCAGCACATACAATTGCGAAATTTGAGGGCGCAAGAAGAGAAGAGCGCTCATGTCTTTCTGTAACAGTAGGGAAATGTCATTAGGAAGCCAAACCCTAAGCTTTGCGTTTAACTAACATATCTAACTGTCGCAGGGAAGCGGGGCAGTCTTTGCACTTCTGTGGTAGGCTACAGCCTTATGGGCGTGAAGAAAAGTAGGTTCACTGTTTGGGGTGAGTATCAAATTGCACTGTTTAATTCCCGGTCGTATTTCAGAAAGCGATGCACGGAGCAATGTTTTATGACAAACCAAGCTATGACAAATCCATTACAAACAAACAGGGTCTGATGTTTTAATACTGACATGTTTTGACAGCAGATAGAAGAATCAAGTCAATCAAAAAATATGAGTAGAATTAAGCTCGGCTTTGTAGTTTTATGTACTACTCACTAAAGATAATAATGAGATAGTGATACTGCGACTCGCATTATGCTTGTGTCTACGTCAGGCACAATGGCATCCGATAAGGATCGGGGCAAATCATCGGTATTAAATCAAACGCCTTGTGGGGACCAGTTTCCTGGCGTCTTGGCTCTCTCGCTTTTTTCATTGGTTTCAAAATTTTGCACTCCATAAAACTGTTTGAATACCCGTCAACATTATTTATATTAAACTGAAATGTGTTTAAACCTGCAGCTCTCTTAGATGCGCAGATCACGGGGCGGCGTTCGTAGTTGGCCGAAAGTAAAGTTTAAAATTACGCCTAGAATCTTTAGGTTACGATCTGAGACTTAAGTATGAGAGCCCAGCGATCAATAACATAACCGTAAGTGGTAGTTTAAATAGCCGCTGCTGAAAATCGTAGGCTGTAGTTAAACCATCCGGCAACGTCTCTGTTTTTGCTGTTTGATCATTTCAAAGGCCAGATCCAGGGGGATACGTTTGAAGAAAACTCAAGAGTTATCGATCTAAATCTTAACGTTTAGCATAAATACACTAGACAATGACCTTTGGATAATTTTTTGTGCAATTATTTTATCATCGGACGTGCCATTAAACTTGAAATTCTCTTGGTAGCTCAATTTCATACGCAGCCATTTGAATACGATTACTAGAATAAAATATGAAATCTCATACTTTTCCTGCAAGCAAGAATGTATGATGTAAATGTTATATTGGTTAAACCTGAAAGATCCTGCTGCCTCCTGAAGATATACGAATCAACACGCGAACGCAATCATTTAAATGCTTTAACGCTGAACAGGGGACCGTTGAAAAGGATACCAGTTGTCTTTAGGACTGTTGTCCTTGAGAAATCATGACTGGCTACTATTAATCTGGGCAGGTATCTGATTTGCAGACTTTCTGTTTTACCCATCAATGTGATCCAGGTTCGAGTTTCAGGCTGTGATGTTTTCCAACACTCTGTGAATCTCAATAATCGTACTCAATTTATGCTGTCGCGTAGCCTACCTGTTTTACGTCACCTTCCATTGCTGTAAACCAGTTCCAGTGCCAAGAACACAAGTAAAGAGGATGGTAAAAATCCCCAGTGTTGAGACCGGTTTTGCCAAAATCACAAATTCCGTCTTTGCGTTCTTGGTATTGAGAGTCATCCACTGTTTGACCTCCTTGTCATTGTACAGGAAGTGACATACTGTAAGAGATTAGGTCTACCCTATCCCTGTTTTTCTAAATCCTAAACAGGTTCTCCCCATGTTCTCCCCAACAGCAAGAAAGTGGATTAAACCATATAATTTGTATTGTTTCCTAGAGTAATATAGCCATGGACCTGTGCTGTTCTATATGGGCAAGTTTTTGCCTTGAGTTTTTGAGTTTTTCTTGCTAGCGGTGTGGACCTGTAGTCCACAGAATCCCAAAAGGCACATGAAGAGACCTGAGGTGTGTTTCCAGGTTAAAAAAAAAATGAGCTGGATGGGAAATACTGCCGGGCCGCCGTTGCTATCCACCTCCGAATTTAACGACTTACCAGGTTAAAAAAAAAAAAAAAGAGGAATGAAGAGGAAGACGCGCGGTTTCAGAGTCCCTCTAGGTAAAGGCTGTATCAGAGAATGGGAGGTATGTTATGAGTCTGTGAGTCTACATCTAGATCAAGAGTTAAATCCCATATACCACTGATGTCTGCAGACAGTTTGGCAACATGAAAACTACGTAGTGTGTTTTTGCACGTGGGGGGGGGGGACTGGAGGAAGCCCCACAATGACAAAGGGGGGGGGGATATGCAAACTCTACACATGTACAGCCAGGACTGAGACTCCAGCCCCGGTTATGGGGGTGTGGGGCAATAGTGGCAACCACTACACCACTGTGCCACTCCTATTATTATTATTATTATTATTATTATTATTATTATTATTATTATTATTATTATTATTATTGTCATGCTTGTTTGTTTTATGTGTTGATATAGTTAGTGAGTTTGCAGATGGTCGTATATGATCCGTTAGTAGCATGGCTTCCCTCAGCAGGACGCAAATGCTGCGTCATGCGGGGCCATCGCACACGGCGGGGGCTCTCTGCCAATCAGCAGGAGGGTGACAGGTGGCGTGGCGGCTAAGGAAGCGAGCGTGCAAAGCCAAGTGGACGTGGTTCGGATCTGTACCGAGGAAAGCCGTCTACCTGGTGTGATAGTATGATAGCAGCTGGGTGTGGTGGTTAAGCGGAGGAAATATTTACAGGACACGTTCAAGGAAAGGCCTGCTTTGTGCTTTTCAGTGATGGGTTTGATCTCTAACGCTTCCATAGATTTACATTTGGCAAAACTGTCAGCTTCTCTGGACACAGCAGCTGAAAAAGCAGTAAAGAAGTAAAATATTCAGATAAATGTGTAAAAGGTACAAGTTTTAAGTACAGTAGAGTCATGGCTTATTCTGTTTGAAGCAAGCCAGAATTGAATTCAAGATAATGAAAGAACGGGAACTTGTTTTAAAGCTTGTTTTGCTCTCCAGCGGATGCTTATGCACCTGTTTAAGGTGCTGTATGCACAGTGTTATGCTTTTAAACCCTAACACAGCATCTGAGCTGCTGATCTGTTTCCAGGTCTTGTTACTGTTGTTGTTGGTTGCTGCCTCAGAGTGTCAGGGACTGTGAAAAACCCCGTGATGTCAAGTTGACTGACATCATGTCTGGAGCTGCGAATAAGACGCGCTTATCCGTGAAGCTGCTGTTCCCATCCGTCACTGTAATGGCGTGCAGTGTGCAGTGTGCACTGGCGCGATTGAGTCCCCTTGGTGTCAGCAAGGAGCTGGAACTGCAAATTACCTTGCGGCACAACGGGACCTTAAACCGCAAAGCCTTTTGGGAAAATCAACACGCAATAGCAGATGTTTAGGTGACCAGTGGGTCAAGTGCATGACTGCTTTTAGTCTCTATAGAGCGGTGTTTCCCAACCCACAGACGGTCCACATTTTTGCTCCCTCCTAGCTTCCTGTCAGACAGTCCACATTTTTGCTCCCTCCCAGCTCACTACTGTGAGGGAGTAAAAACATGGACTGTCTGTGGGTCCCCGAGGACTGGATTGGGAAACACTTACATAGAGTGATTATTTGTTACTTTGGTCATTCATCACGTTGAAGGTCTAGACACCGATGAAGACACTTGTCATTTGAGATTTTTTCAATATTTCCTTGTGATAGAGAGACTGATGTGTGAGCTTTACAAAGTAGGAGTAATTGTCAGATTAACCTGTTTGTGTGGAAAATCATCTGGCATTCTGGGATCATGTCACTCTGTGCCACTTCAATAGTCTGCCTGAGGAGTCACAGGTGCCAAAATCCCAGGCAGAGGGAGAGGGAAAGACGACCGGCGATGGGATCAATGTTTCTTTTTTTTGTTTTTTTTGCAACCCGAGCATGTCTGAGGAGCTCAGGAGCTGAGTGGGTCAACAGGGAAAAAGCTGATTGCGATGGGCCCTAATTAGCTCTTTGCTTTATAGCGTAAGGTAGAAAACCGTGACACAGGGTAAGTGGAAAACCAGGAAATGAGGGAGGGATTTGCAGCCAGATCAGAATGTCGCAGTGTGTATCTGCTTACTGATCCGGCTGCAACTTCTGTGATTTCATAAGTCTCATTTGAATAAAATTTGAATGCATTTACATACGCTCTATATGTAAATATATTATGCTTATATTTTCAGGATTCGCATAATCGTTGTCAAGCTCTGTGGATAGGCAATCCGTGTCCATGTCCAGAAGGATATTGGTTCGATTTCGAAACCTATCACCGTCGGGCCATTGAGGTAAACCTCTTAACCCCGAAAACTGGGCAACCCTGCGTTCTGACCCCAAGCCTTTCTCTCATCCATACATGTGTCTCTGATGGAGAGTAAGATGGGATACGCAAAAAAAATCTAAGGACTCCTGTGCACAAATAAAAGCATCTTATCTAAAGACTGGAATGCTTGCTCAGTCACACCCAGTACGGCGAACAACACACAGAATGAATAATGGACAATAAAAGTGAGATAGTGCCAAGAAACAAATACACCTTCGGCAGAACCATTCATAAAACTGCAGGTGCAAGTAATATTGTAGTAGTTGAGATTTAACTATTGATGATGTGGATAGCTTGGGGAAGGAGTATCCTACAACCCCTGCCCATCCATACCCATCTGTTTCCCATAATCGTATGCTTCATGCACGATCACAACCAGGAATCTGTCCCTGGTATAAGGAGAAGCGCCGGTTCAGCCTGGACACGATTCCAGTGCATCGCAGTGGATGTTCCCTTCACCAAGTTCGCGAAGGCCGTGCCTCAGGGCCATCGGATCTCTATGCACATTGACCCAGGGGCAGGGATTACAGCCACGGTGCCCCTCTGTAATACAAATACTGAATTCATGTTGACATTTTGTTTATTATCGCCTTGCTCGATTGCTGCACATTTCCATCTGTGCTTTATATTTGGGATTCTGAACATGTTGAAGGCTGTGGACCGGTTTGCATTGTGCAAAAATTTCACGGACTAAGAAGACTTGTTCCGGGGGGGTGGGGGGTACACTGTCTGTGGATCGACTGATGTATAAGACACATGTAATAAGTTGCTGTGTCCCCTTTGTAAAGTTCATTTTCGGGAATTAATCAACCACTTCCTCAGACTCACAGCATTCTGTGGAACAATGGACCAGATCTGTGGAAGAGGTAACAAAAGAATTAGGTAGGGATGAGAGTGACAGAGAAGGAGTGCATGACTGACACCTGGTGTGATGAATGG